TGATCATTCTCGTGGCCCTCCTCTGGACTTGTTCCAACAGTTCCATGTCCTTTTTATGTTGAGGACACCAAAACTGTGCACAATACTCCAAATAAGCTCTCACGAGAGCAGAGTAAAGGGGCAAGATCACCCCCTTCAACCAGCTGGTCATGCTCCTTTTGATGCAGCCCAGGATATGGTTGGCTTTCTGGGCTGTGAGTGCACACTGCCTGCTCATGTTCATTTCCTCATCAACCAACACCCCCAAGTCCTTCTCTGCAGGGCTGCTCTGAATCTCTTCGCTGTCCAACCTGTAGCTGTGCCTGGGATTGCTCCGACCAAGGTGTAGGACCTTGCACTTGGCATGCTTAAACTTCAAAAGGCTGACATCTGCCCACCTCACAAGCGTGTCAAGGTCCCTCTGGATAGCATTTCTTCCCTCCAGCGTATCAACCGAACCACAAAGCTTGGCGTCATTGTCAAACTTGCTGAGGGTGCACTCAATTCCACTGTCCATGTCAGTGACAAAGATGTTAAACAAGACCGGTCCCAACACCGATCCCTGAGAGACACCACTCGTTACTGGTCTACAGCTGAACATTGAGCCACTGACCACAACTCTTTGTGTGCGGCCATCCAGCCAGTTCTTTATCCACCGAGTGGTCCATCCATCAAATTGATGTCTCTCCAATTTAGAGACAAGGATGTTGTGTGGGACAGTGTCGAATGCTTTGCACAAGTCCAGGTAGATGACATCAACTGCTCTACCCCTGTTCATCAGTTCTGTAGCCCCATCATAGAAGGCCACCAAATTGGTCATGCAGGATTTCCCCTTAGTGAAGCCATGCTGGCTGCCACCAAGCACCTTTTTGTTTTTCATGTGCCTTAGCATGCCTTCCAGGAGAATCTGCTCCAAGATTTTGCCAGGCACAGAGGTGAGACTGACTGGTCTGCAGTTCCCTGGGTCATCCAATTTCCCCTTCTTGAAAATGGGGTTATATTAACCTTTTTCCCTTTTTCCTTTTTTATATCATCTTTTTCCCTTTTAAGTTGCTGGATAGTGTTGAGCAGGGCTCTGTAGGTGTAGGCCAAACCCTAGCACGTTGCCATGATTTGTCCCTCTCTGGTATGACCAGGATGACAACACACCTCATTTAAGTGTTTTACTAGTGTTTCCAGATTTTGCAGTTGTTCACGGGTGAAATTCCAAAGCACTGGAGGGGCCCACTGGCCTAGATATTTGCTCATACTATCCCCCACACCCTGCCACTCATGACTTTCCAGCCTCAGGGAAAATCTCTTGGTCCTCCTATATCGTCGTGTAACCCTAGACAAGACCCAAACCCAACTTTGCTTTACTTTAGAGATCAGATGAAATGGCCATGGGTAAAACACACTCTGTAATGTGTGCCGACATGGTGATCCCCATCACAATCAGACAGGTCTCAAGAGTACCCAAAGGCCATTCAAAACCTTCAGAACTCTCATGATGCTGTAAATATTCTGGTGGGGGAGCTGGGAATGTAAGGGAATGTCTCCTTCATAGGTTGACCACCCTAGGAGGAAACAAAAGATGTGCAATTGCTGAACACTTCCATTATATACCTTCCAAAGTACAGAGGTGAAGACCAGACTGGGAACGCAAGCCAGATCAGTTTCATTATCAATGAGCCTATTGTATTAAGAGTCATTACCATAAAGTACAGCAAAACAAGAACCTTAGCCCAGGCCCCCCAGCCAATAAACATTAAAACAGCAAATACCATCTGTAAGTAAGGTACAACATGCTGAAACTATGAGATCAAGAGCAACAACTTTGAGAGCCAATAAATCAGCATTGTGACGAGTGACTATGAATCTGAAATAATGATTGCTTATCACAAATACGATTAGACACACTCTGGTCAGGTCTGTCGTTATCTTACCAATAATAATAATGATAAGGGAAATAACAAGGGAAGAGAATATAACCGCTCACCACCTGCCAACCGATACCCAGCCTGACCTGAGCAGTGATCTAGCCCTTCCGGGTAACTCCCTCAAGTTTAAATACTGGGCATGACATGCTGTGGTATGGAATATCCCTTCATCTCGTTTGGATCAGGTGTCCTGTCTCTGCTTCCTCCTGGCTTCCCCTCCTCCCTGACTCAGAAAGTCCTTGGTCAGAGTAATCATTTCTTAAAAACAACTAAAAACATTGATCTTATCAGCGTTGTTCCCAGGCTGAAAGTCAAAAACACAGCACTGCACCAGCTACTAAGAAGGAAAAAACTTACTGCAACTGCTGAACCCAGGACTGTATCTTATCCCTTTATTCCCTTGCTCTAGGTCCAACTCCTCTGAATTGTAAGATGCAATTCACTCAGGGCTACAGGGCAGGCTGAGAGAAAAAGCTTTATTGGACCCCATGTCATAGAAGGCATAAACCTGCTCTCTGCAAAACCGTGAGGTGTCTTTTCGTGTTCAGCCACCTTTGAGCAGGATTTGTTTTTCCAAAAGAAGAAAAGGTAGAAGCGTAGAAAGGCCCTGCCCTGGCTGCTGAGAACAGAAAAGGGTCCTTTTAGATGCCCAAACACCTGGACCCCTCTCTGGGGTCTGTGGGACCAGGGTAGAGTCGGCTCCTTGGGCAAACTTGCATTTGCTGTTTCTTATGCTATCACACCTTCTGTGAGCAGTGGAGGCCTGTTCCAGTCCAAGGAAGAGGACACACATCCCCTTTTACTGCAAATGTCTTTAACCACAGTTGTGCACAAGTTTGGCTGTACAAGAAATTCTCTAATACATTGAAACATTAACATGCAAGTAGGTACTAGACAGCACTAAGCAGCTCTCAGAGCCTCTAATTTAATGTGATGAACCAAAAGATTTCACAGCTAGAGGTTGGGCGGAGAAGTGATTCAGAGCAGCCCCGTGGGGAAGGACTTAGGGGTGTTGGTTTATGAGAAACTGAACATGAGCGGCAGCATGAGCTCTCAGCCCAGAAAGCCAACCGTATTCTGGGCTGCATCAAAAGGAGCGTGACCAGCAGGTCAAAGGAGGCGATTCTTCCCCTCTACTCTGCTCTTGTGAGACCCCACTTGGAGTACTACGTGCAGTTCTGGTGTCTTCAACATAAGAAAGACTGTTGGAACAAGTCCAGAGGAGGGCTGTGTAGGAGTTAGGTGAACAATAAAATGTCCTCTGCTGAAGGTACTGTTAAGAATCCTTATTTGCTAGACTTTCAATAATTAAAATCTGCCGAAATAAATTATTCCTTGATGTCCTAAGTTAATTATGTAAAAAATATATTATTGTTGGTGACTCCCTTGTTTTGATGATGATATTGAGTCTGACACCTAAAAGCCACTCTTCAAGAAGAATTTGAGCATGCAAGGAATAAGCATTGCAACAGCATTACCTTGCTTTTTTTGTTAATAACTACCAGCCCTTCTACAATGCTTTTCTATCACTGGTTTAGGAGTTTAAAAATGACCACTCAAAACCTTTACCTGTATTTTAAAGATAAGGAAACTGAGGCACAAAAAGAAACAATTTATCTAAAACCTCCCAGCAAGCCAGTGGCAGAATATGGAGCAGAACTCATTTCTGCATTAATGCTTTCAGGTCCGAAGAAAATCAAAGAATGAATAGTAATGAAAGGGAACCCAAGTCAGTGGCTCTGCCTTAGAAACCATCCTGTATTCTCACAGGTTGTGACTTCTCAAGCAGATTGTGGATCCTGGCAAGGCAATCTGAGGAGAGTTGCACCAATTCTGTAGTATCACCACAGAAAAGAGTTGCAGAACATGCCAGTAGGAAGAAAACATTAATGATAAAACTTTTCTAAAGGCAGAAGAGGCTAGGCTAGGCCAGGAAAAAAAACCCCAACAAACAGAAAAACAACAAAAAACCACCACCACCAAAAACAACAACAAAAAAACACCACCACCAAAAACAACAACAAAAAACCCCCACAAAACCCCAAACCCATAAAATTAGCTTTCAAGCAACTTCCTGCTCAAGAATCTAATAGGAACAGTATCTTAGATTCATCTGCCCTGTCTACAGTTTTGAGTGTGTGGCTGTTATGGATGTATTTGAAAGCCAGCCCTGCAGTGATTTAACGAATTGTGTTACAGATTGGTACTATATATCTTGAAAAAAAATTGAAACATGGGACAAAACTTTCACAAAATCCTCCATTGCTTAAAAATAATTAATGTAGATATATAACAGTTTTGCCCAAAGGCATACTGCAACTCAGTAGCAGAGCTGGCTGTCAAAGTCAACAGAGTTGTTTTGGGGTTGTTTTACTACACTTCTATTAGAAGCTTCCATTCTGCAGTCCACATTTTGTATTCTCCTTTTAATTTGTTTATCCAGGAGAAAACCAAGCTTTTCCTGAAGAATTTTTTATTTTATATTCCTCTTCAAGATATTCAGAGGATTTGCTTCCCGGGAAACTATGGAGCCATCATTTTGTAAAGGTTATTTGAGCATTTGTTCACTAATACAGGTCTGCTGAATCAAAGCAACTGGTTGACAAACAGAGGCTCCACTCTAATACAAGTAAATCCAAACAAGTCATAAAACTTCTACAAACATATGAAGGAAAAACACCTAAGTGGAAGACAAGATGCTGACCTCATCCAACTCCTGCTGAAGATAGGTGAGCAGCACTGCCTATCACTGCACAGGCACTGAGCCTAGCACAGGCCTGTCTTTTTCTAGAGATAAGCTGACTTTTTTTTTTTGATGGGAAAGAACAAAACAGAAACCACTGGCAACAACATCTCATCTTCTGCAATATGCCTGAGGCTCACTGTACAAATAAGCTTTCCATTTGCATCTTCCTAATGCTATTTTTAGAACATACTGGCAGCGCCAGATGTCTCTTTCAAAGGCTGGACTCTTCAGAGCTGGAGTTAAGATTTATAACCATGTGCTTGCTGGCCATGGATGTTGAAGATGACAGGTTTGTGGGAAAAGCCCCCATTGTTAAGATGACATTGTTCAAAAAACTGTTTAGAATAGTTACTCACAGCATCTTGAGTATTTCAACATAACATCCAAGGATCCTGTCTGCCTGGGCACTCAGCTCAATGCTCATGGTGCTGCAGGTAGGACTGACCATCAAGCAGTCAATCAGGTTGGACTCACTGTCATTGCCAACGTTGGCTATCATCTTCTGATTAGCTGTGTTGTTGTACTCCACTTCCACATGAATTTCATTTGAAGTGACAATAACTGGTTTGAGACAGGATTTAGTCAAGATGGCCTCTTGAGAGACCAGGTCAGGACTTGTGTGAAGAAGGCGGAGTGGCAGATTAGTCTTTCGGTCACATTGCTGCTGGCAGCCATTCCTGATTTCCTTCAGGCTCGGTGAATTGTCTCGGCTGAATTTAAAATGTAAACAAATAATTTCAATAGACAGACATAGCAGCAGAGAGCAGGAGAGAGAGTTCAACACTGAGAAGCCAAGATCTTTTGCAATTTCTCACTGCATTTCACCCCAGCCCACTGAATTGCTTTCTTCCATGTAATTGAATTACTGAAATAAATCAAAAATATTAAAAGGCTCCAATAGGACTGTTCTGCAGCCCCTGTTCTACAAAGATTCAAGCTTTTCATTACTCTAATTGACATGCCAGTTTAGTATAAAGGTGAACTTTCCCATCCAAATTGTGCAAAACTGTAACAGAATCCATGTCCAATTATGTATCTGTCTACAGTACATGGCCAGACATTTGTCTGCAGCCCTTGCGTCTGGAATTTTTGTTAGACATTAAGCAGCCCCTGTCCATGCTCTACAATAAGGAAAGTCAGATAGGCATAAACAAACAGAAAACATAGCAGAGGGGAACCCTCAGTGTCTACTGGAAACTGGCTTGTGTCTCAAGACCTGTGGCATCTATTTTATGGTAAGTCAAGAATCAAATTTTCCACAATAATGGAGACAGCATTGTGAAACCAGCTCACATTCAAAGCTGTAGATACACAGGGATTTCACACCACCCCTCCTTCAAGATCTAACCTTTCCCTTTGCTTTAGGTGTAACATACACTTCATATGCCAGAAAGGGAGCAAACTGGACACTGCTCTGGGTAGTGCTTACTTCACAAAGACTCTTATTGAGCACTTTCATCTGCTGTTGGCCTGAAAAGGATGGTTATGGCTGCAGTCTGCCTTAGAGAAATATCTCAACAGTGGTCAAGATCAGCATGCTGGTCTGTTGAACATCTGGCTGGTGAACTTCATCCTGGAAGTTACTGCAGCTTGCAGTAACTGCTGAGCTCCTTGCAGCACCAGCACTGACCCCATTTTCCAGCATGGGAGCTAAAGATGTGCAATAAAAGATTGTCATGCTCACTGCCCCAAAACATACCGCAGTGAGTACAAGTGAATGAAAGTTCAGCATCTTTCAGGTTTTCAAGCACAGAGCTTGAAATATAATCACATATCTCCAAAAACATGCATGTGATTGACCAGAACTCCCACATGTAACGCTAGCAATGAAAAGACACGCTCTCACATACCCACACCCATGCGCACACTGATCTTGTTTACAGATGCCATGAGTTTGGAAGTGAGTAACATGCAGTCAACTGGGAATTCATACTAACCTGTTGATAAATTCCTCGTAACATGAATAAATGGCTGCTAAGCAGACGGCTACAATATTTGGCAGGACTCTGGGATGGGGGCATTGTCCAGTTGGACCATGCATGCTGAAAAACAAAACCCAAGGTAAAATAATTGTAAAGATTTCTGTGGGCAAAAGCAGTCAGACAGAATGGGATGCCAGAACTGGATAGACTGCTTGGGAAACTTCAGAAGGGCCATAACAGAGTTATTTTAACCATGTAAATCCCTACCCAATGGCCTTGTTTATGAAATGTATCTCTACAGTCCCCCCCCAAAATTTCACCATGACTGAGCATTATGTGGTCTCAAGTTAATGGGAATCTCTTTGGAGAGGCTCTGAGTCTAAATGCATAAAAAGAATGTACACACAGCCAAGTTCATTTGCTTCCGGTGTGTAACTAGGCAGAAAACACCAGCCATATTTTGAGAATTAGTTTTAGTTTTAAAATAAAAAAGAAAATAATAAAAAAGAAACTTCAGCAACACTGCCTCATGGACTCTTCTAATTTATTTGCTGTTTGCCAGTACCAAAAAGCACCGACTACTCTTAACAACAAGAAAAGAGATGAGCAGGACTGTGAGAAGTAACAGTGTCGTGGTTTAAGCCCAGCATGTAAATAGGACTGGAAATGCACCATAAATTAAATGTAACTAACCTATGAATAAAATTCTTCACCACTTCCATTCCAGCATTCAGCTCATTCAAAGCCAGAATATACTCCTGAGTAAACAGCCGCAACAGAGGGCACTTCCCAAAATCCTGTCCAAAAAGCAGAGACTTGGTGAAGATAGTGAAACATGGCTGCAATGGACATCAAAACTGTGGGTTTTCAAAAGAAATAAACTCAAACACAACCAAATTCACTTTGTATTATGCTGACAGCTTCAAGAGCACAGTATCACTCCATGCTGAAGTAATGTTCTTCCCACTAATAATGGCATGCTTGCCAATTCTCCTCTTTCCCCTATACCCACCTTGAAACAAAAGACACTTTTAATGAAACAAAACAAAACCCCATCTGCACTTATATTTCTTTTATACACTTCACTTCACACCTTTATTTTGAAATGAAATTTTTATTGTCTTGCAAATTTGCTTACACTCATAACTCCAAGTTTTTTTGAAATGCAACTAAAAATAATTTTTTACTTCCATTTTTTACATTCTATCTATTCTGGATTTTGAGAAAATGTTTCTGACATGCAATGAATAAGCAATCAAGTATGAAACTAGAGACCAGTTCTTTCTCCAGGGGTTTTATTCCAGCGACAATGTGAATTTGACAGGTGAGCTCACTTTCTTCAAATCCTCCAGTCAGAAAAGCACCTGCTAACTAAAATCCCGCATCTCCTCACATCACCTGATATTTTTAGACGTAAAAGTGTTCCAGCACATTTCTTCACATTTACACAGGTGTAACCTTATTATACAGGTGGTACTGAACCTCAAAGATAAATTTAAAGTGGTGAACAAGGCCCACTGAGGACAAACAAGCCCTCCCAGTTATCTCTCAAGCAGCTGGCTGTGGAAAAAGAGTCATCCTGAAAAAATAAATTGCAACTGAAATTTAAAGAAATGCCACAAGGGGTAACAAACTGGAGGTCTGTAAAAGGGAGGATACACTCCCAAATCACTGAAACCTTGTTATTTATTTTGGTTTCAGGCACTTCTATAGCACAACCTATATAAACATCTCAAAGGTTTTACAGCTACAGAAAATTACCAAAAATGCCTAGGCAGAACCACATCTTCAAGTCTAAGTGTCACTCTTTGCTAGCACTGAATGGCTACCTGGGAAGTTTATCCAGCAAAGGGACCGTGAGTGATTCCACAGTTGGTATTGCAATTAAAATCATCTGTCGTGGTTTAAGCCCAGCTGGTAACTCAGAACCACGCAGTCAATCGCTCACTCCTCCCTCTTCTTCCCCCCTGCTCCTGGAGGGATTGGGAGAAGAATCGAAAGAATGCAAATCCCATGGGTTGAGATAAGAACACTCCAGTAACTAAGGTATAATACAAAACTACTACTACCACCAATGATAATAATGATAAGGGAAATAATAAGGGGAGAGAATATAAAACTAAAAGAGGAAAAGGAAAAAAAACAACAATAAACAAGTGATGCACAATGCAATTGCTCACCACCTGCTGCCCAATACCCAGCCCAACCTGAGCAGCGATCTGGGCCTTCTGGGTGACTCCCCTAGTTTATATACTGGGCATGACGTGCTGTAGTATGAAATACCCCTTTGGCTAGTTTGGGTCTGGTGTCCTGTCTCTGCTTCCTCCCGGCTTCCCCTCCTCCCTGGCAGAGCATGAGACTGAAAAGTCCTTGATTGGAGTAAGCATTTCTTATTAACAACTAAAAACATCAGTGTGTTATCAGCATTGTTCTCAGACTAAAGCCAAAACACAGCACTGCACCAGCTACTAAGGAGAAAAATAATTTACAGCTGAACCCAGGACAAGCTTCTCCAAGCTAGCCAAGTTCCTGTAACATGTGCACTCACCATGTTGTGTTTGAGAATCCTCTGTACTGCTGGTGTGAACACTTCTATCACAACCATGGACCGCGGGCGCTCTCGGCAGTGCTGTAATGAGTAACAAGTCATTTTGTGAGCTGCGGAAATCATGAAAATGGGTGTCCCCTGGTTTTGCACCTCATGCATGGATTACTCCAAAATTAACAAAATCCAAGGGCTAAATTAATCTTTCCTGGGATTAGGGTACTTTTAACGCTGCTTCTAATGGAAAATTACCATGGGAGCTTATGAACTACATGAATTCCTTTCCCTGCTGCCCATTCTCCTCAAAAGTCACTGAAATGTAGAATTTTTGAGACTTCTACCCCTTTTAAAACTTGCCAGCAGTTTTAAAAGAAAACGGGTCATCATGACTATGCAGTCTGATGCATGAAGCATATGGATCTATTTATCATAATGGTGCTGTTAACCATTTGGTTGTTGACCAAAAACTGAAATCAATTTGGGCATGAGTTAAGGCACTATAGGAAAAAAAAAAAACAGCCACCCCCTCAAAGAACTACATTCATAGAAAATTGTTTCAGAAAGCAAAGCTGTTCTGATACCTTGCAGAAGAATTCACAGAGGTCAGGAGGAGGATGGTTGTTTTCCAGCAAAGGTGCAGTTGCCTTTAAAAAGAAAGAGAGAGAACAATTTAGAGGATTGCAACTGGAGTAAGCATCTTGCAGGGAAATATTTTGCTTGAGGGAAAAAAAAAGCAGCTCACTTTTAAAAAGGAATGACAAAAGCACCAATAGAGAAATTAGAGATGGGCTGTGTGTTTATTTTACATGTGTGTTTATTTTGCATGTAAGCTCAAGCACACCTTTGCTATGAATTCTTTGTGAAATTTTGCCTTTAACTATATCAGTGTAATATATAACACACAGCAAAAGAAGCACAATTTTTATAATGGCTTAAATAAAAAAAGGAGCAGGCCAATTGTTTCAGGATGTAATACTGCAAGGATGAATCAGACTCTCTGTTTCAGTTACAACATCTCCCCAAAAGAAAAAAAAAACAAAACCACACACATCCTTACATCCTTTATGAAAGAGTTCGAGCTCTTTTTGTGAGAAATAAGTCACTACAAGTACCATAGCACTGTTCTTACCTTGGTGGAACCTATTTATCAAAATCAAGCATCTAACTTTTTGCAAGTTGAGATCAACCATTCCTTCTTTGTTGCTACGCAAACCAATGTACTTACACTCAGTAAATACATTAGAGCTCATACATGCCACTGAGGGTGTAATGAACTTATGTGGTTGTTATTTCCTTGGTAAATTAGAAAATGGAACTAGAATAATGTATTATCGCTTTGTGATACTGCCTTCTGGCTTTTCAAGTCATGAGCTAAAGTGATTCTCAGTTCCCATTTAAAAAGAAAGACTCTAAATACAGTGGCTAGGACACCGTATTAAGCAAGTGAACACCAGATATTTAATCTGAATGGCATCAGGAGTTTTACTAAGTCAGCCTGCTTTGTGTTTTTGCCCTCCCTCTTGTCTCCTTAAGAAGGCCACCTAGTCCAACTTTCCTGCTCACAACAGGGTCACCTTGTATCTTTTATTAAAAAATCCTTCCCCCAAAACAAGTAGTTGTATCTGAGGCCTGAATTGCCCTTGGCACTAGGGTAAAATGAAAGCTGCAGCAGATCTCAAAGAGAAGTAAATACCACTTCAGAAACTTATTTCAGTGGCTGATTCTGGCTAAAATGGTATATCAAGCAGCAGTCACACCTACTGGCAGCTACATGCCACCTTGTAATTTTGCAGAAAGTGTCACAAGGATGTGACAAGATCAGGTGGTGGTGAGGTTCTATATAAGACTATTGGGTAAATCTGGAAATTGCCTGTCCTGGGTTCAGCAGTAGCAGTCATGTTTTTTCCTTTGTGGTAGCTGCTGCAGTGCTGTGTTTTGACTTCCAGGCTGGGAACAGTGTTGGTGAAGCCGATGTTTTTGGTTGTTGCTAAGTGATGTTTACCCTGACCAAGGACTTTGTGAGGCTCATGCTCTGCCAGGGAGGAGGGGAAGCCGGGAGGAAGCAGAGATGGGGCGCCTGACCCAGGCTAGCCAGGGAGGTATTCCATACCACAGCACGTCATGCCTGGGGTGGGGGTAACTGGGAGTTACCAGGAAGGACACAGGCTTCCGGGTAGGACTCGTTTCTTGGCCGGTGGTATCGTATTCTCTTCCCTTGTTATTTTCCCTTATCATTGTTGTAGTTGATAGTAGCGGTGGTGATTTGTGTTGTACATTGGTTGCTGGACTGTTCTTGTCTCAACCCGTAGGAGTTGCACTCTTTCGATCCTCCTCCCCATTCCTCCGGGAGTAGGGAAGGGGTGAGCCCCGGTAGGGGGGGGACGACGTCCCTTGATTGTTGTCAGCTTGGCCCCACTCACTGGGAGTGAGTGAACAAGTTGCCTGACTGGGTTTAAACCACGACAGTTCTTTTTGACGCCCAACGTGGGGCACGAGGGGTTGAGATAAGAACAGATCTGACTGGATTAATAGTCACTCATCACAATGCTGATTTATTGGCTCTCAAGGTTGTTCCTCTTGATCTCACAGTTTCAGTATATCATATCTTACGCCCATCCGGTATTTGCTGTATTAGTGGTTTTCAAGTGTGGGGCTTGGGCTAAGGTTTTTGTCCCATTGTACTTTATGGTAATGACTTGTAATACAATAGAATCATTGATCATGAAACTGATCCTGCTTATGTTCCCAGTGTGGTCACCACCTTTATACTTTGGGAGGTTAATGATGGAGGTGCTTAGCAATTACACATTTTTTTCTCCTTCTCAGGTGCTCAGCCTGTGAAGGAGACATCCTTTTACCCTCCCAGTCGTCCCCCCAGACCATTTACATTTGAGAGTTTTGAATTTTTTGAATGGCCTTTTAATGCTGTTGAGACTTGTTTGCTGATGGTGATGGGAATCACCATGCTAACACGCATACAGAGTGTGTTTTGCCCATGACTGATTTCAAGAGTTAAGCAGAGTCAGGTTTGAGTCTTGTCTGGGGTCAAATGACAATGTAGGAGGACCAAGAGATTTTCCCTGAGGCTGGACAGTCATGAGGGGCAGGGTGTGTGGGATTGTATGGCCAAGTATCTAGGTCAGTGGGCCCCTCCAGTACTTTGGAATTTCACTACCGAACAACTGCAAAATCCAGAAGAATTAGTAAAACACTTAAATGAGGTGTGTGGTCATTCTGGCCATACCAGAGATGGACAAATCATGGAAACGTGCTGGGGCTTGGCCTATGCTTACAGGGCCTTGTTCAACACTATCCAGCACCTTCAAAAGGAAAAGAATGTCGGCGGATCTCAGGGCAAAGCAACAGTCGCTACTCAAACTTTGGCTGCAATGAACTGCGCAGCTACCCCAGCAGCAAGTACAGCAGCTGCTCAAACTTCAACTGCAACAGACAGCGCGGTTACCCCAGCTCCAAGCACAGCAGCTGCACCAACCCCAGCGACAAGCACAGTCGCTACTCAAACTTTGGCTGCAAAGAACTGCGCAGCTACCCCAGTGGCAAGTACAGCAGCTGCTCAAACTTCAACTGCAACAGACAGCGCGGTTACCCCAGCTCCAAGCACAGCAGCTACACCACCCCCAGCAACAAGTACAGTCGCTACTCAAACCACAGTGATAATCACTGCAGCCAAACCAGAGGACCAATTCGTACCAATATCGGTTGCCCCTGTACGCAAGAGAACAAGCAAAAAGGAGGCAAGAAGGGTGAAGCGAGATGAAGAACCAATGAATTCACCACCCGGTCCAGAATCTGATCAGGAGTCATCATCACATGACGAAGAAGAAGAAGAAGAGGTAACTTCTCGACCTCGGACCTCAACCGAGCTGCGGAATATGCGAAAAGATTTTACCTGTCAACCAGGGGAGCACATCATCACCTGGTTACTCCGATGCTGGGACAATGGGGCCGATGGTCACGAACTAGAAGGTACAGAAGCCAAGCAGCTGGGATCACTTGCTAGAGAAGGGGGAATTGACAAAGCAATTGCAAGAGAGAAAAAGTCCCTCAGCCTTTGGAGGCGGCTCTTGGCAGCTGTGAAAGAAAGGTTTCCGTACAAAAACGATGTTATGAAGCGTTCGGCCAAGTGGACTACTATAGACAAAGGCATCCAGTCTCTGAGGGAATCGGCCATCGTAGAGATGCTCTATCACATCCAGCCGAATAACGGGGATACACCTATAGATCCAGATGAAGTTGAATGTACATGACCCATGTGGCGAAAACTTACACGGAATGCACTGTCATCATATGCCCATTCACTGGCAACAGTAACCTGGAATGACATAGCACCACTAACAGTGGATGAAATGGTTCATAAACTCCAAGAGTTTGAAGACAATCTCACCCCTTCCATCATCTCAGCTGTGAAAAAACTGTCCCAGGACCTCAGACAATTGAGTCAGACAATGGGACTCATTTCCAGAATAACCTTATAGATATTTGGGCCAAAGAGCATGGCATTGAGTGGGTATATCACATCCCCTACCATGCACCAGCCTCTGGGAAAATCGAACGGTACAATGGGCTCTTAAAAACTACACTGAGAGCAATGGGTGGGGGAACTTTCAAGCATTGGGATACACACTTACTAAAGGCCACCTGGTTGGTCAACACCAGAGGATCTGCCAACAGGGCTGGCCCATCCCCGTCAGAACTTTTACATATTGTAGAGGGGGACAAAGTTCCCGTGGTGCATATGAAGAATTTGCTGGGGAAGACAGTCTGGGTTATTCCTGCTTCAGGTAAAGGCAAACCCACTCGTGGGATTGCTTTTGCTCAGTGTCGTGGTTTAAACACAGTCAGGTAATTCGTTCGCTCACTTCCCCCCCTTTCTTGCCCTCCCCCTGCCCTCGGAGGGAGGGAGAGGAGAATCAAAAGAATGCAACTCCCACGGGTTGAGATAAGAACAGTTTAGTAACTAAGGTATAACACAAATCACTACTGCTACCACCAATGATAATAATGATAAAGGAAATAACAAGGGAACAGAATACAACACCTCACCACCCGCTGACCGATAACTCGCTCCCCAAGCCCGACCAAGCTCCGACCGATACCTCCTCCAACCCTGCAGTCTCCCAGCCCTTCCGGCTAACTCCCAGTTACATCCTGGGCATGACGTGCTGTGGTATGGAATAGCTCTTTGGTCAGTTTGGGTCAGGTGTCCTGTCTCTGCTTCCTCCCAGCTTCCCCTCCTCCCTGGCAGAGCATGAGGCTCACAAAGTCCTTGGCCAAACCAAAACATCTCTATCAGCTCTGTTCCCGAGCCGAAAGTCAAAACACTGCACTGCACCAGCTACCAAGGAGGAGAAACATGACTGCTACTGCTGAACCCAGGACATTATCCACCCCTTATTCCATACCATTCACGTCATGCTCAGATCCCACATTTTCAATATACCATCACTCTTATCTCGGTGCACTCTTATCTTAGTGCATGGACCAGTCCCTATAAAGCTGCTGCGTCCATCTGGTCCATGTCAGGCTCCATCTCTTGTAACAGTCTTCCAGAGCAGGAGAGACTGTGTGCAGTGTTCACACTCGTGAATAACCTGGGCAATTGTGTCCATTGTTAAGTCCACCC